GGCTTGTCTATATAGTGAGCTCAAGGCCAGCCTGAACTATATAGTGAGACCTTGTCTGTCTCAAAAAAAAAAAGTGGAAAGAGTCTGAAGTCTCCTTGGGAAATCAAAAGGCTGATAGGGAAGCAAAATGGTAACCTTACAGCCCCTTTAAGACCCTAGTGTTATTCCCAGTTCCTGAGGAACAATTCTGGGAACTTCCTCAGGGGACATAGTAACAAACTATAAAATTCCTATGTGGAAAATGATCCTCAAACTTCTGAAAAGGTACAAATCGCCAACCAGACCCTAAACCAAGCTCCGGCAACACTTTGCCACGAGATGTCTGAGTCCTGGTTCTGACTGCTACCAGTAGCACTTATGAGGGTATGTAACATGCCCAAAACTGGGTTAAATTTGAGTCCATTTGAGATATTATATGGGAGGACATTTCTATCCTCTGCTATGGCAGCAGATGAGAGACCACAGGACTCTTACAATATCTCATTTATCTGAGCCAAGTACAAGCTACCCAAATGTATGGGAACAGAGTCCTGCCAGCTCCTGGCCCGGGCAGACCACCTACTGTCGGTCCTGGAGACCAAGCGCTCATAAAAATTTGGACAGGGACTCCCGCAGACCAATTGAAGCCAAAATGGAAGGTACCCTTCCACACCCACTGCAGTGAAGGTCCAGATAATACCCAAGGCCCCATATCTGGACTTCTTATGGGTCCTGCAATGTGTGGAATGGAGAAAAGGACACAGATGCCATGCATGCAGAGCCTGTTACCATGGCTTCCCTCATGGAAGCCTACTCTGTGTCCCCCAGGTTGTACTGTGGACTTAAAAACTCAATTCATTCTCAAGGGCCGGTTGTAACTCAAGTTGGTCAACAGAAGGCTCAGGATCCTCTACACAGCATTCAAAGTCTCTCTTCTATATACAGGCAGATCTCAGTGTCCTTAGAGAGACATTGGCCCAGGATTTCTCAATGAACTCCACACAGGAAAGGCTGTTGTAATGTTCCTTCCAGAACTCTTTAAGGGTTAAATCTGTATCTGAGACCATCTGGAAGCATAAGCAGCCAGTATTCAGGTCATAACTCAAGACTTTGACTGCTGCCTGCCTGGTATTTGCAAGCTCCTGAGTTCGAACCCCGGTACAAAAAAACAAAACAAAACGACTTTGGTTGTAAGTTAAAACTAAAATTCCAGTTATAACCCAGGTTGTTCATATGTCAGGCCAGTTGTAACTCAAGGGTCCACTGTACTTTTATTTTGGTCTTTATTTTTACTTTTCCTCGCCCCAAGTTCACTCTGCAGAGCCAGTTTCTCCCTTACCCTTCACTTTTAATTTTTCAAATAAACTTCGTTACCATTTTTGCTTGTTTCATTCCATTCTTTGTTCAAGACAGAAAGAACCTGGAAATCAAGACACCAGCATCCCAGAACCCGATAACCCAGAGCCACTACCACCAGTCCCAGTGACTAGGAATCTTTGCTCATCAGCTAAGAGTTATCAGCATCCCGGCTTTAACTTTGCAAACAAGTAGCATGTAACAAACAGGAAAACAGGCTATCAGTTATTTCAGGGTTCAGGCTAGTGCCAGGAGTTGTAAGATCTGAAAGAAGCAATTTACTCAATAGCTGTGAGCTCCCTTCCCCACTGTCCTCAGAAAACTTTAACAAGCAGGTGAGCCAGGTGTGGTGGTCACACCTATAAACCCAGTCAGTACTCAGGAGGCTGAGGCAGGAGGATTTGCTGTGAGTTTGAGGCCAGTCAGGACTAAATGGCAAGACCCTGTCTAAAAATTTAAAAAAAAAAAAAAAAAAGTGAGTGAATCAGCCATACACCAAGCCAGCTACATCTCTTTTGGAAGAAGCTACCAGGGGTGACTGGAGACAAAGCCCAGCCATTGGAATCAGATTTGGGCTTTGGACTCAGCAGTGCCACCCACCAGCTTGAGTGAGTCTCTTCCCAACTCTGAGCCTTGAGATTTTTATTTGCAAGAGGGAATGTGCTGCCTGCCTCAAAGCAGAGTTGTAAAAAGGAAGTGAGATCACAGGGATGACAAAGGGCTTGATAAACACTAAAGCTGTTGGTAAATTGAAATGGGCTTGCCCAGCATGGAGGCACACACCTGTAATCTCAACTCCTCAGGAGACTGAGACAGGAAGAGTGCAAGTTTGAGGTCAGGCTGGACAATTTAATAAGACCCTGTCTGAAAATAAAACTTTAAAAGGGGTAGGAATGTAGCTCAGTGGTAGAATGTTTGCCTAGCACGTGTGGTGCCCTAGGTTCAATCCCCAGTACTGCAAAACAAACTAGCTAATTAAAATGGACTTTATAAACTTTAAAGGGCTATATACACATTTTTTACATACTCCTCCCATTGGCCAGCTGAATTCAACTCCAAAGCTGCACCCTGAGGTTCCCCTCCTGCAGAACTAAGCAGGTAGGGAGGCACAACTGAGGGATGTCCTCCTCCACATATCTCTCTCTCTCACACACACACACACACACACACACACACACACACACACACACACACAGAGGTCTGGCTCCAGAATCTCCTTGGCTGAAGATACCCAGAGACATACCAACCTCTCTGCTTCTTTTTCTTCTTCTTCCTTTTTTTTTTTCCTTTTGTATTGGAGATTTAACCCAGGGCCTTCACAGTAGGCTACCATCCCCAGCCCTTTAATATTTTAATTTTAAAATAGGGTCATGCTATTCTCCTTCCTCAGCCTCCCAGAGTGCTGGGATTACAGGTATTCACTACCATGCCTGGCTACCATCAGACATTCTTATGCCCAGCTTCCCATGTGCTGAGATTATAGGCGAGTGCCACCATGCCAGGCTGAGCTAGCTCTGTTAGTGAACCTGTTTCTGCTTCAGGGAACTGATGGGCAATACCAGGCCACCTGCAGGCCTCAACCTACGAACACTTGGACGTAGCCAGAGCCAGTTCCCAGTCTGCCCCACACAACCAGATGCACACACAGGAAGAAGCACAAGAGGCTTCACCCCACTCTCACCTGGCTGCTGAGGACACAAGGGGCTGGTCAGAGAAGTAGCCATGTTGGGCCCCAGCATTTGCCCTTTGGGAACTGGCTCTACTCCCAACACAGAGACGCATCCAATAGTTCTAGCTCAGCTGCTGCCCCTCCTAAGCCCAAGCCTCCAGCCACTAGGGGACCTGGACTGCCCTCGTTGTTCACAGGTCTGAAATCCAGGGGGCGGGGGCTCTCCAGTTCCCCATAAAAGGACAAGGGTCCCAGTCTCTCACCACATCCCACTCCTACCAGCACCAATCAGAGAAAAAAAATCAGTCCTGAAGGCACATTTTGTCACTAATGCCATGGACTATAAATCCATTACCCAAACCTTCATTAGATGGGGAAACTAGGGCTTGCCCAAGGTGACCCCAGTGTCGGGGCAGGGTGGGGCTATGGCTCACTGTCCATTTTATACCAACTACAGCATACTACTTTATCATCATTTATTCAAGGCACTTTTTTTTTTTTAATTTTTATTTTGTTGTTGTTGTTCTTTTTTTTGGTACCGGGGATCAAACTTGGGACTTGGTGCTTGCTCGTCAGGTGCCAGAAGCACTGAGCTAAATCCCCGGCCCTTTTATTTTTATTTGAGACAAACTCTCACTAAGTTGCTAAATTACCCAGACTGGGCCTAAATTTGTGATCCTTCGGCCTCAGCCTCCCAGAGTGCTGGGATTATAGGTGTGTGCCTATAATTAATGTATATGTCTTTCTTTCTTTTAACAGGGTCTTGCCATGTAGTTCAGGCTGGTCTTGAACTCATTATGTAGCCCAGGCTGACCTTGAACTTGTAGTGATCCTCCTGCCTCAGCCTCCTGAGTGCTGGGATTATAGGCATGCACTACCATCCCCGGCTCAATTCGTATTCTTAAACACATACTACATACCAATTCTGCTAAGAGGAAGGAAAAAGGAACAAACAAAACAAATTCCTCATCCTTGATGCATTTACAGTAAGAATTACGGTGTTGGTCTTACTAGTGACACATTAGCTCATGTTTGCACACCTTTTTACTATTGACAGAGGACTTCCCACTGGCTTCTTCATTCTGCCCACAAACCCACAAAGTCAGTCTTTCAATCCCTATTCAGCAAGGGAGGAGAGTAAGATCCTGAATTGCCCAAGTTTCCTGCTTATAAGCAAGAAATCAAATAAAACCCCAGGTGCCCATCACCACCAGAGCTGACTTCTCTAGCTTGGTTGTTAGTACCCAAAGGTAAAGAAGTTGCTTTTTGCTGCTTCCGTGGCGCTCACCTTCCCTCTGACATACACACAGATTTAAGCATCTGGAACACAGCTGGATATTCAGTCCTCACTAAATGAGAGCTGCCTGATGCCCAGGAGAGAGCAAGCGGGTTCCCTCATTGTTCCCAGGTGAGTGAGTCTCTGGCCAGCAGCTCTGATTCACCTGCCACACATCCAGGCAAGGTTAGGAGCCTGGGCTCTGTTCCCAGCACCTGAGACCTGATGGTAAAACTAGTTGTGAGCCTGGTCTTTTGTACCAATAACCTGGTTATCTTTGTCATTCCCTAGGGAAGCCCACCATGTAGGGCATTCCTAAGGCCCTTTAGCTCTCCTGACAGGCCTGCCCGAGAGTTGGAAACTGCACAGAGGGGTGGGGGAGTATAACTTGGCCAAGATCACACAGCTAGTAAAGCAGATGGCATTCAGCTCCCTGAGATCTAAGTAGCCCCTTCTCATCACCATCCTCATCTCCCAAGGAGACCTCTGAGGTTCTCTTAGTCCTCAGAGAACTAAAGAGGAGTGCTGAGTCCCTGGCAAAGTTAGTTCACAAGAAGTTCTAAACATGAGACTCTAGGCTGGAGAAAGGTGCCAGCCAGAATAGTTCCTTAAAAACAGAACCACCCATTTGCTTAGGTGAAGCGTGGGGCACAACCTCGGCCTCCTGAGCTCATTTTCATAGGCTTTCCCTTGCCCAGCCAGAGCTAGGACCCCTCTTACCTGTAGCAGCGGCAGTAGCTCGGCTGTAGGGTCTGTTGTCTCCCTGGGTCCAGCCCTGGCCCCAGCCTCTGTGCTGCGTCTGGCAATTGCAGAAGTGAAAATACAGGGCCAATAGCTGCCAAGTCACCCCTGGGGGGAAATGCAGTGACCCTATAGCCCCTCCAGCAGATCCCACAAGAACCTCCAAGTCAAGCTACCCAGGCCCCGCACACTGAGCAGAGACTTCTCAAAGAGCAAGGGGTGGGGTGGGACACAGGCAGCGGCCACAGGGAGAGAAAGCAAGAGAGGCTTAAACGTGCACTCAGGAGAGACCCACAAGTGAGCAAGAGGAGAAGTGAGTGACCAGCAGATGACGAGGGAGCGGGGGAGGAGCGGAGGGAATCCGGAAGAAAAAGAAAGGGCAGAGGGAGAGATGGAGGAAGAAAGGCCAATGTAAACATGAGGACAGAGCCTGAGAGGAATGAGGAGATACAAGGGTAAACAAAGATCAGGGAGTTAAAAGAAAAAAAGATGAGACACAGACAGCAAGTGTTCAGCTGCTCGGACAGCATCAGTGTCTGTCTGACTCTGGGTGAGGAGAGAAAAGAGCAAGGAAAGGGATGAGGAGAGGAGCTCAGAGCTGCTGCTACAGTCAGTGGCATGACTGGGCAGGAGATCCCTAGTGACCAAGAAGTGCTGGGCCCAAGAAACCAGTGGGGACAGAGTGCTTTGGGGCGGGGGAGGGGGAAACCTCTCGGGATTCTAAACTGGCGCTTGGCAGTGAGTTCATGGGAGAGAGTGAAAAAGAGTGAAGAAAGAGGTGTGGGTAGTTGAGGGTGTGAACACAGCTGAGAGAGAGAGACAGAGACAGAGACAGAGACAGAGACAGAGGGAGAAAAAACTAGATAGGCATTTCCTGGGTGCATGAAGTTTCCAGTCCTTACCCACTCATTCATTCAACCAGCAAACAACACTCACTGACAGCTCTGGGAGCCGGGCCCTGTGATGGACACTGTCTAAGAAAACAAGGCCCTCTGCTATCAGCTGATCCATTACTCTCCTACATGGAGAGGGAAACTGAGGCCCTCAAAGGACCAGGGGCCCAGAGCAAGCCAAGTGCAAAGCAGAGCCAGGAATGTGGGCCTCCTGACCCCTGAGACAATGTGCAGCCTCAGTCTACCTTGGGTGTCTAGATTAACCCCTTCCCACTGCCTAGGTCCATCCTTCATCAAAGCCAAATATGGCTCTTTAAAGTCAAAGCATCTTTATTATGCGTCTTGGCCCTCAGCATCATGCTCAAACCACTTGTGCATTTGGCCCTTGCACACCAACATACCCTCACCACAGTCACTCATGTGCATGCCCACCCCGACTCTTCTCACTCACACCTGCCCACACACACCACTTTCCTCACGCTATTCACCCATGCTCACCCAACGCAGGCAGCCCCGAGTCCCAAATGCAGCCCAGCCCTCTGCTCAGAGACACTGACACAGGTCATCCCTCCTTGTCCCCTTTACAGGCCTTTGACACAACATGACATGGTCTTGTTTGCTGCATTTTCTTGTTTTTTGGGTTGGAGGTCTCACTATGTTGTCCCGGCTGGCCTCCAACTCCTGGGCTTAAGTGATCCTTCCCACCTCAGCCTTCTAAGTAGCTAGAAAACAGGCATGCACCACTGTACCCGGCTAGCTGGTCACTGCAATTGGCCTTCACTCAGACTGTCCAGCTGGAAGACAAGAGCCCAGCTCTGCTCTGCAAATAAATCCTCCTTCCCAAAACAACCACACCTTCTCAGCCTTCCTCTAGCCACCACCCTTCCTCCAGCAGGGACATGGAGCCTGGGAGAGACATTAGGAATCAAACAGCTTCCATTGGTCAGAGTCTCCAGGACTCCCAGCTCAAGATCTAGGCTGGAGGTATAACTCAGCAGTACAGCACTTGCCTAGTATATATGTGCTGGGTTTGATCTCTGGCACCACACAAAGAAAAAACAAAAAGATTCAGCCTGTTTTCCAGTAATGCCTTCCATGAGCACATGCAGCAGCTGCGTATCAATACCTGTTCTGAGACTGTCGATAAACAAGGTAGGTAGGAAGCCAATATTATCACCATTTTGCAAGTGAGGAAATTGAAGGTGACTATTTGTCTCTCTTACACCCCATTTCCAATCTGTCAGCAAATTCTGTCAGCTCTACTTTATAATATATTCAACTTTGCACCTAAATAAGCCTTTAGATTTAACCTTCAGTTGGCAGGAAATACAGGGGACAAAGGAATAAACTGAAGGGCTCCACAAGGAAACAGTCAAATTCATTGTCCCAGCTATTTCAACAAATCAATCCCATGAAAACAACCAACCAAACAAACAAAGAAGGGGACTTATGTTCAAAATTCTTATAGAAATAACAAAATTTACAGACAAAATTACATATGTGAGATTTGCTTCAAAATAATATGGAAGCAAACTTCAATTGACAAAAGTAGGTTGGTGATTACTGAAGCTGCCTGAGGGCATGTGGGCACCATAGCACTACATGCACTGTTTGTTTGTTTGTTTGTTTTCAGTTCTGGAGATTGAACCCAGGGCTTTGTCATTGAGCTGCATCCTCAGCCCTTTTATATTTTTAATTTTGAGACAGGATCTCATAAAGTTGCTAAGTTGCCCAGGCTGGCTCAAATTTGCAATTCTCCTGCCTCAGCCTCCCGGAGGGCTGGAATTACAGGTGTGCACCTCCACACACAGCTTACATGCACTCCTGTATGTGTTTTCAATTTTTTTAGAATAGAAAGTATTTTTTTCAGTATTAGGGATAGAACTTAGGACTTTGCACTTGCGAAGCAGGCACACTGCCACTGAGCCAAATCCCCAGCCACTGTTGTTTATTTTTTAAAGTATCTCATCACTTGTTTTGATTTTGAAGTTGAGAATAAGAGGGAAAAAGGAAATTCTACCAATGTTATGTAGTGGATATTTGTGTCTTGGGCTATAATTTTCCTATACAGGATGTGAGAGGTCAAAACTACTAACAATCGGGGCCGGGGATTTAGCTCAGTGGTTCCGCTGCCCGCCTCGCAAGCAAACGGTCCTGAGTTCGATCCCCAGTACCAAAAAAAAACCTACTAACAATCCTAGGGCTGAGGATGTAGCTCAGTGGTGCCGAAACTTCCTGGCAAGTGCAAGATCCTGAGTTTGACTGTCAATATCAAAAAAAACAAACAAAAAACTACTAACAATCCTGAACCAGTAATGACACGAAAATAAAACTAGTAATAACCCTAAGACCTTATTTGTCTTTTACACTCTCATTCTCTCACGAGTGTGCAGTGGTGGTTTCGACGTGACAGGTGAAGACTGTTGCTGCTGGCTAACAGAACACACACCTGTGTGTGTTTGGTTTTAATTTTGAGTACAGTAAACATCCTCAGATGTCATCATAAGGTCTTTGACATCCTCAATAATTTGTAAGAGTCCTTGGAACAAAGTTTGAGAACTGCTCACCCCTCCAATCCATCCATCCCCATCCTCATGGAGCTAAATCCCTAGCCCGACAATGTCATTTTTAAGAAGACAATTTATAATAGCAAGAAAACTATCTTGGCCTTTTCTTTTTCTTTGTTTGGCCAAAGTCTTGCAACATCTTGACAGAGGAAATTTTAAAAAGTAATTGAGAAACAATTCAATAAGAATTAAATATTGGTGACATATGTGTGTAATTCTAGCACTTGGGAGGCTGAGGCAGGAGGATCACCATGAGGCCAAGGGCAGCCTGGGTTACATAGTGAGTTCAAGGCCAGCAAGAACTACATAGTGAGACCCTATTTAAAAAAAAAAAGAAGAAGAAGAATTAAATAAATGGATAGATGTACTTTACAAACATATGTTAATATTGCAAACAAAGCAACCCAGCATGGTGGCACATGTGTGTAATCCCAGCACTCAAGGGGTTAAGGCAGGAGGATCGCCATGAGTTCAAGGCCAGCCTGGGCTACATGATGAGTTCAAGGCCAGCCTGGAATACATAGTGAGATCCTGTCTTAAAAAAACAACCAAAAAAATTGCAAATGAAAAAAGCAACAATCTAAAAATAGCCAAGAAATTCTGAAGAACAAGAATACATAAATAAGGATATACCATGACAGGACCTTTCCCGTCACATATCAAGTGTTAGTAGAAAACTGATACCACTAAACAGAGTGACATAAACAACAGCATAAACAAACAGTTCAAAGGGAAAGAACAGAGAGCACATCTGTGGAGACATGACACACATGACAGAGCAAGGATGGAGTTCCTGTCGAGGCCCAGCCCCTGTCCTGCCCTGACTGAGCAGTAGCACCCAGGCATCTTGAGGACCTTTTGTGAGAAAGGGGCCTGTGACCTGTGTGAGTGTTGCTGCGTGTGTGTGTGTGTGTGTGTGTGTGTCTGTGTGTAGGGGAGATGTGTGACGATGTGGAATAGGTTTGTTTATAGTGAATGGGTGGAGGTCTCCCATGTGGTAATCTTCAATGCAGTTGCACATGTTGTGTAAAGATATGCTTCAACCTATGCCTCATGTGCAGGGATATTGTGTCAGTTGGTTGCAGTTTGTGTGTTGTGTGTAGAAGGAATCACAAGTGGGATGATGAGTCTGTTGTGCACTTTGTGTGCATGTGTGATGTCTTTTGTACTTTATTTGATGTCTGTTTTATATTTTGTCCCTTGGTGACTGTTAAATGTCTACAGTGGGTGAGAAGAGTGTGCTCCATGTGTGTGTCCATGAGGAGGTGTGTTGTGGGGGGAGTCGGACAGAACCTGGCTCACTCTGAGGACCTTTCCAGAACTCGAGCATCTCCAGTATTCTTTGGAGCAGCTGACAAAGCAGCCAAGCCTGACCCTCTCACCCAGACTCCCAGCCTCTTACCTGAGCAACATCAAGGAGGCCTAGGAGGTGACACAGGGGCTGAGGGGGAGTGGGGCTGCTGAAAGCATGCTTCCAGATCAGTAGGAATCCAGAGACAGAAGCGGGATGGGTAATGGGAAGACAGCAAAAGGCCAGCCCAAATACAATTGTGTGACTCACTGCAGTCTATCCTCCAATCATTGCGTGTTTGATGGCAGCAGCAACAAGATGAATAATTGGGGAAGGATTTATCTGCCAGCTCTGCTGGGTAGGCAGGGTGTCTGAGGCCAGGAAGCCAACTCTTTGGGTGGAGCTTGGACCCCAAGGTCATCGGGAATACCAACATCCCATCAGGAGACTGCCCATTGGCTCAGACAACACTGGCCTGGGCCCATCTGATGCTGAGCCCCTCTGGGAGGAAGGGCTGGCTCTGGGAGGCAGAGGAGGGAGGCAGTCAAGATATTTTGGTGAGCAGGTGGCAGAGGCAGAGATAAGAAATAACTTTCAGTGCAGAACAAGAAAAGCTGTAGCTCTGATGCAGTGCTAGGCTTTTGTCAAAACTATGGTCCTTTGCCTCAGTAGGACTTGGGACTTCTGGGAACAAGAGTTGTGGTCTCCCTCAGCCTGGGAGTTTATGAGAGCAGGGATGGCTTTCTCTTCCTCTCAGCTGGAGGTGTCTTCAAAAGGCAGAATCTTCTCTCTCAACAGATAGGGCATCCCTGAAAGCAGGGCTATCTCTGCCTTAGTTGGGGACACCTGTGGGCAGGGCCATTGTGCAGTAGTTCTCTGTGCAGAAGAATGGCTGTGTGTCTCCTCAGATAGCGGTGCCTCCTGAAAGTAACTTTAGGCCTTTTTTTATAAGCTTGGAGCTCCCTGGAGTGTGGGTGCTGGGACCATCTCTGGCTCAGACAAGAAGCCCAGTTTCTTCTGCCTCTGCTCGTAGGGCCCAGCAAATAAAATTTTAACAAGCACTCAGGAGATTCCACGGAAGCACCCATGGTGCAAAGGAGGCTTGATGGGAGTCTGGAGAAAGCTCAGGATTGAGGGAGGAGAGTTCAGTCATGTGGGGGCTCTCTCTAGTTGCACTGACCTATTTCCCACCTTGAGAATAACTACCCCACTAAGCCACAGGGACAGAGTGAGGGTCCCTGCATCTATGAGGGAACCCCAAGTTCTCCCAGTCCCCTACCCCTGTCACTGCCTGACGGTTCCAGTCCTGGCTGAGTTAACCTGGGAGCCCACTGAAGATCCACCTGTCTCACCAAACATACACACATGCATGCATGTGCATCTCACCTTGAATCCTGAAGCACAATCTTTAGAGATACCAAAAAGTGTCTATGATGTCCTCAGTTCTCAGGGACACCACACTGGGGGAGTGGGGCATGGGGGAGCTGCCACTGTGGCCCCCGCTGTGCTGAGCACCTGGTTTCTCCAATTTACTCAACCTTCAGGCAACACATGTGAGATGAGGAAGCTGAGTCTCAGGAAAGTTTCAAGACTCACACAAAGACTCTCAGTTTGATGTGCAGCAGGACCTGAGCTCTGTGGTGCACATCTGCAATCCCAGCTACTTGGGATGGTGAGACAGGAGGATTACTTGAGCCCAGAAGTTATAGACCAGCCTGGGCAACATAGTAAGACGCTATCTCAAATAAACAAATAGCAACAACAAAAACAAACACACAAACAAAGAAACTCCAGGGTTGGGGATGTAGTTCAGTGATAGAGCACTTATCTAGTTTGTGTGAGATGCTGGGTTTAATCCCCAGCACCACAAACAAAACAAACCTCCAGTCTATTGGAAATTTGCTGTATTGCCCATAAACAGAACCTCACTGGCTCTCGACAGAAATGGAGGTGATTTTATCGTCATTTTGCCAGAGAGGTGGCAGCTAAAACCAGAATGAAGAAATGACTCACCAGGGGCCCAAAGCTTGAGTGGCAAAGCCGATGGTTAAGAAGGTACCCCCAGGGCCGGGGATTTGGCTCAGTGGTTTTGCCGCCTGCTGCACAAGCTCAAGGACCCGAGTTCGATCCCCGGTACCAAAAAAAAAAAAAAACAAAGAAGGTACCTCCAAGGCCCTCTATGCTCAGTTCTCTGCACCCCTGTGCAGCCCTGGACTCCAGTTCCAACAGGGAGACCGCTGATAATTTCTGGCAAGGGGCAGATAAACTGGATGTGCTAGGATGGGGTTGAGGGAGAGGGGAAGGAAATGGAGAGGGGTAAATCCACTCTTCTAAAGTTCCACACTCAGGGCCGGGGATTTAGCTCAGTGGTTCCACTGCATGCCTCAAAAGCACAAGGTTCCGAGTTCGATCCCCGAAAAAAAAAAATAATAAAAATAAAGTTACACACTCTTAGTGGGCCCAGGGTCGTGTACAGGCTCCCACACTGCCTTCTAGCTTGACCGGAACCCAGGAAGGCAGAAGGGCCAGAATTTCCTCCCGGCTGTGGAAGCAACTAAGAGGCCACAGCCACAGGGCTGGGGGAATACAGGTGACTGGACTGCCAAAAACATGGGCCGAGGATTTAGTTCAGCAGCACAGTGCCTGGCTTGCAAGTGCAAGGTCCTGAGTTAGATCCCCGGTACCAAAAAAAAAAGACAATGACTCATGCCTCATGTCAACACCCTGTCCTTGTTTGTTGAGATAGCCAAGCTGGCCTCAAACTCCTGGACTAAAGTGATCCTCTGGCCTCAACTTCCCTAATAGCAGGACTATAGACACAAGTTACCCCACATGGGTCTATACTTTGCTTTAAAGGTACAATTCTCAGTCAAACGTGGCGGCACACAACTATAATCACAGCCTTCTGAGAAGCTGAGACAAGGGAATCACAAGTTTGAGCTAAGCCCAGCCTGGGCAACTTAGCCAGTTAGTGAGACCCTGTCACAAAATTAAAAATTAAAAAAGGGCTGAGGATGCAGTGCAATGCAAAGGATCTGGGTTCAATCACCAGTACCACAAAAATAAATAAATGTACAATTCTCACTTTATACACAAGGAAGCTGGGGTTTGGGGTTGACGTCATCGCTGACCTAAATGCCAAGACTCTCACCCTGCCTGACTGGCTCCTTCCCTTTCACCTGCACCCAGTGGTGTCTTGGCAGCAGCTGGCTGCACAGAAGCAGGTGTAGGGTGGTGACTCTGCTCCATTACTCACAGCAAACCACAGGAAGAGGAGTGGAGTGGCTCATCCAGCCTCTCATCCTCTGGCCCCTGGCGTTCCTCCAACAAGCCCCTCCTGTACAGAGCTGTCCTTAACCTCTTCATGGGTGAAGGGGCTACAGAGGCTTTGACAGTCCTGCCCTAGGCCTGGTCTTGGGGATGCTGCCTCAATTTGGTGCCCACACACACTCCCCTCCTCTCCTTAGCCAGGTCATACTGAAAAACACTGCTCTAAGCAGGGTTATGACCAGGCCTGGGACCACTGATGATCTTCCAGGCAGGTCTGGGACCAAACTGTGCCAGAAAGGAAGTGGGAACACTTTGGTTCTTCTAGGAAAATACTGTTCTGACTAGAACCCATTTCCCTTCATGTAATTTCATGATCTGGTCTTCCCTCCCCTCATGCCTGTGCTCCCAGCATGACATACGATTCCACAAATTCAATTCCACAAATGGGTTACACTCTTACCCTTTTACATATCTGGCCTTTTACATATCTGACCGATATTCCCTCTGATGGAAACATCTTCCCAAGTCCTCTCCATCAGCACTACACTGTTGGCTGGCAGACATTCTTCCTTTTTCCTCGCCAACATTTTCAGTGGGAACCACAGTGCCCAACCCTGAGGAACAGAGCTTAGTCTACAGTCTTCCCATTCTCCTTTGCTGCTTTGCTAGCCAAACTCACCTTTGGAGGCATCTATGGGACTCATTCCCTGGGCAATGACATCTGGGAAAACTGCTTCTCGGATGAATTCTTCCTGCTTACAGTTTGTTAGAAGGGGTGGTGCTGGCACAGGCTTCCTACAGCAAAAAGATGGCAAGCCCTCCAGAGGATGGAGCACAGCAAGAGTCTGTTTCCTTTGTGGTCACTGAGCCATGAACAATACCTGAAACTCCCTACCTCCAGATTTATATGAGCTAAGTATTTCCCCCTTTGCCAGTTTCCTTTGCAGCTGAAAACATTCCTAACTGATGCATCAGCTTCTCAGTTCCAACTTTTAAACAGGTCACTTTCTCCAGGAAGACATTCCCTGGTTGCTAAAGACAAGATCAAGAGACTTTTTTTTCCTTGGAGCAGTGCACTGTGCCTATCTCAGTCACTTTCTTCGACACTGACACACAATGCCAACAGTATAAATTAAAAGGGGACAGGTTAATTTTGGCTCACATTTTCAGTCCACAGTTGGCCAGCTCCATGGCAGGAAGGCATGGTGGAAGGGCCTGGTGGAGGAAAGCTGCTCACGTCAGGGTGGCCAGGAAGCAGAGAAGGGAGGAGCCAGGGAGGAAGGTATACCCTCCCAGGTATGGCCCCAGTGACTGGTCTTCCAACCAGACCCACCGGAATCAAAAAGTAAACTGGTCCCCAAGAGCAAGCTGGCTGTAGTACCCCCACAATCTAACCACCTTCCGCAAGCCCCACCTCTGAGTGCATGAGGCTTTAGGGGGACATTCCAGATACAAACCACAAGTGTCTTCTGCGATCTTTGTACATGTTCTCTTACCTATATGCCCCAGCTGTAAGATAGGTAGCAGGGCAGGGACCCCTTGGTAGTCACCATTTTACTTTGTTTTTGAGACAGGGTCTCGTCTATGTAGTCCAGTTTGTCCTTGCGCTACCATGCCCAACTCTCACCATTTTATTTTTAACTAGCAATTTCTTGAATAAACAAGCACACCTGCAGATGAGACAATTACTAGCAGACTTTTTTTTTTTTGAGATAATTCTTGTTATGTTGCCCAGACTAGGTTTGACTTGCAATCCTCTGGCCTGTCTCCCGAGCAGGTGCAATTACAGGTGTGCACCGCCACACCTGGTACCCTGGAACAACCTTCTGAGGGCAAAGACAAGCTTGCAGATGGCGTAACTGAATGACCACCCCTTAACCTCTAAGGGAGGGGCAGATGTGAGCAACCACATGCTGGAGAGTGTCACTTTGCCTGCCTAGAAAGCCAGAGGCTACTCCCTGCACAGGTCAGGCTGCACAGCCCTATGACCCGTGTCAGCACTGCAGGGTGAACCTCGCCCTCCCTCTCCTAGGTCCGGTATTAACCGGAGCCACACTGACCCCTGAATATTCATTTATGTGTGGTTTCAATGTGCTCAGCTGTACTTGGAAGGACAGTAAGATAGCCAAGCTTCTCTCTCCTTCCACAAAGAAGCAAATCAAAGTTGCACAATCTCTTGATACTACCACACTTGTGCACTTTGGTTTTGGTACCTATTTACTCATCTACAAGACACTGCAAAAAGCAGTCTCATTTTGAGTCACCTACTTTCTCATATTTTCCCATTTTATGTGTCACCTTTGTACTTCCTTTATGCCCCTCCCAACGTCTGATCCTATCTCCCACAGCAAGCAGACATCTGAGCACACACTCTGAACTGGATGCTTTCATGCATTACTTCATTTAATCCTCAAAATGATGTCTCATTGTACAGAGGATAACAATATTGGTAACACTCAATAAGTATATGGTAGCTATCTCAGATATGTCACAGCGAATCCTCAAAAGCTGCTGTAGTAATTTTATTTTCTTGTTTGGTTTTGTTTTTTAGTGGTACTAGAAATCAAATCCAGGTCCTTGCGCAGGCTAGGCAAGCCCTCTACCACTGAGCTACATCCCTAGCCCCTGCCACAGTAATTTCTATTCCCATTTTGTCAATGAAAAACAAGGTTCAGCAAATAAGCTGCAGGGAGCTATATGTATACAACCCCAAAGCATTTCAGGGTTAGGCCAAGCCAGACAAGAGACCCAGCCTTGGAATAATACCTGAGGGAGATTATTAATGGATACAAAAATTTATTATACATAAAGAATATCACCATTTAGGAATGTAGACTAGCTAGGACACAACGGTAGTGGATACTGAATGGGGGATGGCTAGCTTTCTGGAGTGGACAGGTTTAGGTGGGTTGGAGCCTCATGCCATGCTGACCAGTCAGACAGAAGGGCACATGGCAAACACCAGGCCAGCGATGCTTCAGGGCACCAAGTGATGACACAGCCAAAAGGGAATAAGTGAAGCAGAGGGGCTTCCTAAGGTGGCCCAGGCTTATCTCTGAAATCACAGCAACACCACTGTAAGCAATATGTTTAATTGGATGATTTCCACGAACTATACATGAAGTTTCTAAACACAGCAATTCAGTGAAGTACAAAACATTAAGTTACAGGCTGCGGAAAGAGAAGGCAGCATCAATGGTGGCACCTTCCAATCCTGGTTGTTCTAGGGGTAAAGGGTGGGGGAAGGTCTTTTTTAAACCAAGCCCCTCATTTCAATGTACAAAAGAATTACTCTGATCCATATTAAATTGTATTGAAAACAAAATGGACTAAAAAGCAAATACTACTCTATGTTTGGGTGAAGGCGGGAGGAAAGAATGAGTCCTTCAAAGCAGGAAGGAGATAGCTGGGGGAAGGTTCTGTGGTTGTGACCCAAGCGGTCACTCGCGCTGCTCCATTTTCACTTTTGGTGGTCTCAGGAAGGTCCGATTTTTCTTTTCTTTCTTCCCCTTTGTATTTGCTTGGAAATTTCGCCAGCTGTCTACCCGACCATCTCGACTTTCCTAAGAAAGAAGAACCAAAAAAGCTTGAGGTGGGTAGACTAGAACCTACACTGCCATCTTCCCACACTCCTGTATCCCAGCCTAGGTCGGCTCTCTGGAGTAATCCAAGAACACAGCAGAGCAAAGTTCTGCTCTCATTTCCAGGGGCCCAGGAAAGCGTAACGCTGTCTCTAGAAGGCAGGATGAGCTTTAGGTTGCAAGAGCAGGGCAGTCACTAATACTACAACAACAGCACCCCCATTTGTTAGGGCTCTATGAGGTAAACATTCAACTATGTTTGGGGTTTATTTATTTTTGTTTTACATTTACAGTGCTAAGGGTGGTTCTCAGGGTATACAATATTCCTACCCTCACAAAAGCTGAGTATTAGCCAGGCATGGTGCTGCACGCCTATAATCCTAGCACTTAGGAAATAAATAGGACACACATGTGTAAATACCAAATAGTTTCTCTAGTGTGAGAAACTGAAAGTGTAAATAAAGACTAAAAGGTATAATAGGTAATGTGAAATAGGAAGAAAAGGGGCAAAGGGGAAGGGGAAGTGGGAGGGGTAGGGGAAAGGAAAGAAGGGAATGGAATTAATATGAGAAAATGAAAACAAGGAAACACAGTCTTTATAAATAGAGAGGGATGGAGGGGTTGAAGGGAGGGCAGGGGAATGGGGGAAAAATAAGAACCAAGAGAGTATGTAAAGGTGGAAATTTCCAATGATGAATGTCATTATATTGTATACCTAAAATGTACCAATAAGAGGCTTAAAAAAAAAAATACTAGCACTTAGGAGGCTGGGGCAGGCAGGAGGTTCGCCATGAGTTTAAGGCCAACCTGGGCTACACAGTGAGTTCAAAGCCAGCCTGAATGACACAGTGAGACCCCGTCTCAAAAACAAAACAAAAAAAAAACAGCTGAGTGCTATTATGCATCACCACCAGCATTTCACAATGCTAACACTGAGGTTAAATTATTTCCTCTAAACCATACAGTTAGCCATCAGTATAGCCACTCTTTCTACTATACCTTCCTACTGCCCCCCAAAACTTGGATGGATGCCCCAAACACAGCTGAGAGAGCCACAAGGACCTCTACCTCATTATCAAGGAGCCTACTCATTTTCTTTCTTTTCATACATAAGGTGGGACAAAAAACAAAGTCATCAACTCTGGTTAGCCACTCCCACCTTAGGTCCTAAATCCTATAAAAGACCAAATGTTGCTACAATCCAGAAACTGGCCAAACACCTGGAGGTATCAAAGAGTCAAGTTCAAAAGCCACAACCTTTTCTGCAGGAAGGATAGTGGGGTCACAAGAACTTTAATTGCTCTGAAGTCTTCTTAGTAGGGTGCCACTCATTGCTTATCCCCTTAATTAAATGTGCAATCCGTTTTTCTCAGGCCCACTTGGCAGCTATACCTACCATACTCTCAAAAAATTCACTTGAGGATCCTCACGGCCCTTGCCAAGGCTACAGAGCTCACAGGAGCCTGAGCCAGCACCAGGCACATCCTCCACAGCTCCCATTCTTCCCCACAAATCCCATTTCCCTCCATCTGCCCAGTCAAGCCTGGGAATGCCCACGGACCAAGTTTCCTTATTCCAGAATAAGAATCCTGGCTACTGTGGCAATTTACCTCAAAGTTTTTCTGCCACTCTCTTTCTCGTTTGGCTTTTTCTTGAGCTTCAATCTCTTCTTCCCTTTGTCGTTTCCTAGGAGAAAAGGATAGCCACAGTATTTATGTGACACTGACAGACTGTGTTAACCACACAAGTTAAGGCTGTGCCCCCTACCAACTAGCGGTCTATACAGACGGCTGCCTGGAAAGGGCTCAGTCCATCTGCACGAAGGTCTCATTCTAAAACACGCAGATCAGACTGTGGGTAGGGGTTTAGAAAGATATAATTATCCTTGTTACCCAGATAGATAGCTATGGTTTTCACAGCCTAGTCAATAGCAATCTGAGGCTTTAGCCTCAGTTAGTGACAAAGCTTTATTCACAACACAGACCACCTTATTTTAGTAGAATGAGCATAAGAGTAGAGGTTCTTGATCAAGATTTCTGAACAAAACTCAATCCTACAATAAGGACTTTTCACACAACTAGCATAAAAAGCTAGTTATTGCTTTGGGGGGGGGGGTTGTACCGAGGATTGAACTCAGGACCTTGCACTTGCAAGGCAGGCAGTGGCACCACTAAGCTAAATCCCCAGCCCAAAATTTAGTTATTGTTAAACATCAACAATACAAAATATAGAAACCAAACCAACCTCAATATTTTTGATGACCACAAAAAATCATACTTTAGAACAGTAACATTTTATAAATGAATATATTATACTATACTAACTCACCAACACTGGAGCCACAAGTCCCATCAAAGTTCTGGCCTCAGTAACAATGGCCTCACTAATTGTCTATTTCATTCCAGAAAGTCAGGAGGAAAACACATAGCATTCTTGAGTGTAAGTAAATTCCCTAAGGACAGGTCTATTCAGTATTCCCCAAAAATCAAATAGAAAACTTTTTACCCTAGTGATTCAAAAGCTTGGCTGTTTTGGATAACTATTTTAGAGAGTCTCTTAAAATTATGTATTACCTAGCCAGGTGTGGTGGCACATGTCTATAATCCTAGCACTTGGGGAGCTAAAGCAGGAGGATTGCTGTGAGTTCAAGGCCAGCCTGAATACATAGTGAGACCCTGTCTCAAAAAAAAAAGTATTGGGGCTGGGGATTTAGCTCAGTGGTTTCACCACCTGCTGCGCAAGCACAAGGACCGAGTTTGATCCCCAGTCCCCCTCCCCCCAAAAAAGTATTACCTAATTCCTTCACCAGGAAAAATTCCCACTGTACCTAATTTAAGCATTTAGATATGCTTTAAGTGAATATGTACATGTGTACCTTTCATGCATCTCTTTGGCTTCTCTCTCTTTCCTTTTAATTTCCAGCTCAGCAAAGAGTTTCATGGTCTGCTTATACACTGCTTGTTTGAACTGTAAGAAAATTAAAGACAAAAGAAAATAGAAGTAAATATTTTACCAGAAAGCTCTCTTGGGAGTTAATAAGGACATCAAATGGGTGAAGGACTCTATAATGAATATTTCAATATCTTTAAACACTACAAACTCTCTTGGAAAGACAGATACTAATGATTCGCTTTTTTTTTTTTTTTTTTTGGTATCGGGGATCAAACTTGGGTCCTTGCGCTTGCACAGCAGGCGGCGAAACCACTGAGCTAAATCCCTGGCCTTGATTTGCATTTTTTTGTATCTTTGTTACTTCCATATTTTCTGTCATCAGCATGTTTTCCTTTACAATTAGGAAAAAACAAGGTGTGTGCCTGCAACCCCAGCTCTTTGGGAGGTTGAGGCAGGAGCATCATGAGCCCTGGACTTAGGGGCCAGCCTGGGAAACACAGCAAGACACATTATCAAGGGGAAAAAAAGCTGGGGTTCCTAATAACTTAGAAGGAAAAGGCAGATTTCTAAGTTCAGAAAGAACTAAAGGAGACAAATAAAGGGAAGCAAAACTAGGACTGAGGAATAAACACTACAACACTGGAACAGTAAACCCATAACAGGTGGCTGGCAGAAAACATGACCTGACAGTCCTCAGGCAGCACTGCCACACAGAAGATGGGACTCTTTGCTGTTAGCAAAAGCAGTGAAGCAAGAAGCTTCAAGAAAGTTTCCCCAGCAAGACAGCTTTTCCTCCATAAATCTTGTTAAAAAAACAAAACAAAACACCAGGTACATGGTAAGATTGAAAGATTGAAGATGACTTTAAATTTTTCAGGCTTGTGAGCCAATCAGATATAAATAGGCCAATGTCCACAAAAGGAGCCACCCGATTAGCCAACAGTCTCCATTTCCTCTGTAAGACATCATCTTTAGAGAGCCATGAGAGTCAGGACTGGCAAACAACCAAGAGTTGGTGGTGTTCTTCCCAAAGCTGTCTACACTATTTGCAATGACTACTGTGGTTGCGTGATTTAAATGTCATAGAAATTGATAAATGTGCTTATAAATATTTGTTGTTTCCTTGAAAGGCTCAATATGAGTTCTAAAAATAACTGGTGGTGAATTATATACAGGTGAAATATCTGGAAACACTACAAAAAGAATCATATTTATCTAAAATTCTACTCTTAAGGGCCAGGGATTTAGCTCAGTGGCACCGTGCCTGCGTGGCAAGTGCAAGGTCCTGAGTTTGATCCTCAGTTCCACGACAAAAAAGACTAAAATTCTACTCTTGGATTGTTTCACAAGTGCCTAAGTTTCCAATGTATTTCAAAGGAAATTAAAGTAGAAACTTATAGACAGTACTTTGTATGTGTGGCTTATAAAATAGTCAACCGAACTCTAATTAGCAAATGTACACTCAAAAGAAACAGCCATATCCCTGTATAAGAAAAAGGGTGAGGGCTGGGGATTTAGCTCAGTGGTTCTGCTGCCTGTCTCACAAGCACAAGGTCCAGAATCTGATCCTTGGTACCAAAAACCAGAAAAAAAAAAAAAAAAGAAAAGAAAAAGAAAAAAGGTGAATGCAAAAGAAAAGGGTGAATGAACACTCATTTACATACTTTAAGTTAAAACATAGAATGTTTATAATATCCATTCTTTTTTTTTTTTTGGTACCGGGGATCAAACTCTGGTCCTTGTGCTTGGGAGGCAGGCGGTGAGACCACTGAGCTAAATCCCCGGCCCTATAACATCCATTCTTCATCTGTTAGGCCTCTCTCTTACCCACCAATCAGTGCATCCAATCACACGAGATAAAGTGGCTTTCCCATGTTTGACTCACCAGCTCAGGATCATCCTCCTCTACATTTGTAGGTTTCCCTTCCTTCTTTAATTGTTTTTTTCGTTCTTTTACCTAAAAAAAAGTTTTTTCATCAAAAGATTAGCACTCATACTTTCAGACTATCCACTGAGCTATACATATATGATAGGTGCACCTTTTCTGTAGATATAGGTATAACAAAAAGTTTGCAGTAAATACAGATGAGCTCGCTCAACCCCACTAAAAAGAAACCCTGCAATGCAACCAAAAGAAGTAGGACTGTTCAGTCTTATCTCTAACCTCATCTAAAATCCAATCTACCAGAAGGATGAAAGGGAGATGGGAGGAGTTGTCCCCAACTCATCAGACTATGCCCAATCCAAACAGCCTTAGATACAATGAACAGTTACCTGTTTATCCTTCTCAAATAACAGTTACACAGTTATAGGGGGAAAAAAGTAAAGTTCAAGAAAAAGCTACAGATCTGTAGTATATTAAGTATAAACAGTGTTTTTCTAGCATTCCTACAACTGCATTCTTATTTTTACTGTGTAGCTCCCTGAAGCCGGTAATTTTTACATCACATTGATATTTTATTGCTCTGACCACCATTGAGAGCACTTAAAAACAATTAAATATACCCATTCACACAAGACTGACAAGACTCATTAAATAACCTATTATACCATCAAAAAGACAAGTGCCTTCCAAGCTCATAAAGGCCCTACTGCCACCCTGTGGTCAGGAAGTCTAAAGGATGACACACAGGAAGGGGAACTACCACAAGATGTAAGGAGAAGTCGGCCAGGACTGAGCCTACAAGTATCACTTCCAACACATGACCAACAAAGCATAGTTACAACCCTTCATCTGTTCTTTTTACTAGTCCTCCTCATCTAAGCTGAATTTATTATTCTTTATAAAGTTCTGTTTCAGAGTCCCAAGTTTTAAAAGAAAGGTCACATCCACATTCACTTGCCTTTGAAACAGCTTTTATAAATGGCCTTATGATTTTTTGCTCTAGCAAATAAAAAATTAAAATAAAAATCCTCCTTACCTCAAGCAAGCCATTTCCTACCACATTGGAGATTTGTGTAATACCTTTCCAAGAACAAAACCCAAAAACACCAGGCATGACTGAATTTCTTTAACCTGAGTCCTTCCCAACCATGTTATTCATATAAACATGCATTTTTTGGGGGCTGGGGATTTAGCTCAGTGGTTTCACCGCCTGCTGCGCAAGCGCAAGGACCCGAGTTCAATCCCCGGTACTTTAAAAAAAAGAAACATGCATTTTTTTCTCCTGTTTTTAAAATTTTTGCACAAATCCCCTTACCAGCCATCCTTAAGCCCATGTTCCAAACCTTTCACAGAGACAAAAATAAAAATTGAGAGTCAAGCCATGGCCACCAGCCCCTCCATTATTCCACTCTCAGGAAGTAAGGGGGCAATGTCACGAGAGAGCAAGAGCAGCCCTCCATCCACAACACACGACACAACTGGTAGGGAAGGAGAGAGAAGCAGCGTCCTGGGCCTTCTTCATCCCGAGCTCTTCCTTTAGGGGTGGATTGTAGCTTTAGGCATACATTATTTGTGACCACTACAACTACATGGTGATCAAAGAAGGAGTCACAAGTCATGCTGGTGGGCACTACTACCTTACATTTACCCTCCTATAAGGTGCTCAAGGCTTGCTGATACTTCCTTAAACACAGCAGCACTATAAATACTTACAGTGTGTTCCACGTATTCTTTTCCTGCCTGAATTACATCGAGGGCCCTCTTCTTTTGTTCCTGATCCAGTAGCAACTTGTAAGCTTTGTCCACAGCTATTGCAAAACATTGAAATTAACTGTTTCTGCAAACACCCTCTGAAACTCTGAACTATACTCAGGCAGTGCAAATGGACTTGTGCTCACTAAAAGCACTCCCTACTTTGTTAAATTATTTACTACTTTTAACTAACTTTTAAAAAAACATAAAATATAGCAATGACCGTGAAAGCATTGGAAAAAATTAAATACACACTCAAGGCTGAACACAACACATCCAAGTTTAACTCAGTAATAAAACATTTCCTAATTTATGCTCAAAAACATGATACTACGCAGTAACAGTCCTTGTGGGCACATAAATGATATAACAAAGTCATGGTCTATGTCTTCATTTTTTTTGTAGTGTTGAGAGGATTAAACCCAGGGCCTTGCGCATGCTAGGCAAGAGCTCTATGACTGAGCTGCACCCCCAGCCCCCAAGGTTTACTTCTTAAACAACAGCCTCTTTTTACTGAAATCCACAGTTTCTTCATGACCAGAAGACAAAACTCTTTCTTTTCTTGATCTAAAAGAAGGAACAATTAATCTCTAGCACTGACAATATATTACTCAGAAGCAGGTAAATTCACAAATACCTTCAAAAGCCTTTTGTGCTCTGTCAGCATCATCTTGGTTTTTGTCAGGATGCACCAATATGGACAACTACAATAAGAGAAAAGTTAGGCTTGTCAAAAAGAGACACATTTAGTAACTCTTGGGCTGTACCATGACCCTTTACAGGCAAAAGCTCTAAGATACTATGACAAAAAAAGACTAAAGACGGCATTTTTAAAAAACACAAATCTCACTGGGCGTGGTGGAACACACCCGTAATTCCAGCACTCAAGAGGCTGAGGCAGGAGGATCACTGCAAGTTCCAGGCTAGCCTCGGCTACATAGCAAGTTCAAGGCCAACCTGAACTGCATAGCAAAATCCTGTCTCAAAAACAAAAAACAACAACAAAAACAACCCCCAAAAATCTCATGAAATGCCCAAAAATACAGTCTGTAACTAATTTCAAACACCAAAAGATAAATGAACAACTGGAAAATTACTTTTATACACAAATCTGAGAGCAACCAAAAGTCTAACATTATGAAGATGCTATAATAATTTCAGAAAGGAGGGAGAGTGCAAAGTACTGAGTTCTGTTTTGTTCCTTCTCCTAAGCACTAAGGGGATCAAGTAGGAAGGAGACATCATCTCTGCCAGAAGAGAACTCCTAATAATATAAAGCAGTGGTTCTCATTCTGGATGCATTCCAACCCTGTTAAGCTTTTCAAAAAAACTTATGTCTACTTTCTACTTTCAGACCTGAATCAGTGTCTGGCATCTATCCGGACTTTGGCTTTTTTGGGGGGGAGGGGTACTAGGGATCAAACTCAAGACCTTGTGCTTGCGAGGCAGGCGGCGGAACCACTGAGCTAAATCCCCGGGCCTAAATTCTTACTTCTTTTTTTTCTTTTTTTTTGGTACCGGGGATCGAACTCGAGTCCTTGAGTTTGTGCAGCAGGCAGAGAAACCACTGAGCTAAATCCCCGGCCTATCTGGACTTCATAAACCTCTACTAGGATGGGTTTCAGAGGATAGTAAGGAATTAGTATTCATTTTGTTAGGTGTGACAGTTATGTGAGAAAATATCCTTTTTTTCTTTTTTGTACTGAGGATTACATCCAGAACCTTCACACTGAGCTCTTTCATTTTTTGAGACAGGGTCTTGCTGAGTCACTGGTTCCCCAGGCTGGACTCAAACTTATGATCCTCCAGCCTTAGCCCCCCAAGTGCTAGGATTACAGTTAGCTTTCTTTTTTTTTTAGGGAGGATATGTGTTAAGTATTTAGGGGAAAAACATCATGGTGTTTTCAATTTACAAATATTTCAGTCAAAAATATATAGTTAAAAAATATATATAGTTAATGAAGTCACTAACGGACACACTACATATGAGAGTATGCCTGTCTTTCTTTTTAAAGTACAAATTTTTTTATAATAAGCAAGTTAATACTGGCATGTGCCTATAATCACAGCACTCAGGAGGCTGAGGAAAGAGGATTATGAGTTCAAGGCCACCATAAGGTACATAACAAGTCTCTGTCTCAGGAAAAAAAAAAGTTAAAGAAAACCTCCACAGGTGACTCTTCAAACATCCACAGTTAAAATCCCTGACATGCTGTTACTGACAGAAACCAGAACTGTATTGGGGGAAGAAAACAATGCAAAGGCCAGCATTAATGGAGCCCTAATCCTAAATTCTGATTCCAAATTCAATCACTTGCTAGCTAGGAGATCTTGAAGAACTCAATCTATCTCTGCTTCAGCTTCCCACTCCAGAAATAGGACAATACTAAATGCTTACATCTAAACAGGTTGTTTAAGGATATGAGATAATGCAAGTAAAGAAATTAGCACAATGACAACAGGAAGCATACGATGAGGACATAATACATGCCAAGACACCCTAGGTGCCTTATGTGTGATAACTGCACTTAAATACTTGTAGGTACACTTTATGAACAAGGTTATATGCTCAGAACAGTCCAAAGTAATTTGCCCAAGTTCACAGTGCTTACAAGTGGAACTGTCAAGATTTAAATAAAACCATATAGTCTAATAACTGCACACTTAACTGTAAGTCCATGTGAGGACTCAATAAGAACTCTTTAATTCATATTGAATTTTCAGCTATATAAAATTGTTTAGGAGCTACTGTTCTGTTTTTGTTTTGTTTTTTTTTGGTCCCGGGGATCGAACTCAGGTCCTTGCGGTTGTGCAGCAGGCGGCGAAAACAATGAGCTAAATTCCTGGCCCAAAGTTGTTTAGAATAAGGATTTGAGTGCTGGCTTATTAAACGGGGAAAGACTACTTACTAATGCATTATAGTTGGAAACAAAAATTTGAGAAAAAAAGGTAACCTTAAGTGCAGAGTAGAGCTCAGGAAAAAAGTCTATAAAGTTATATAAGGGGAAATGACTAAAATTGGAGCAGACAAGGATAAAAAACATCTTGGCTTAATAAGAGATCAGAAGATGACTATGAGTCAGCAATACTGCAGAAAAGTACTGCACCAAAGAAGCAAGCATATATATAACACTGGACATTAACAAGTACATCATGCAGAGGCTCAGTATTACATTCACCATTGGTCAGATCCTGTTAAAATATGAAGTACATAAGAGATACAAACAAATTAAGGAAGGTTACAAAAGACATAAAATGTATAGAAATCCAAATTGCAAATACACAGGGAATGTGATTATTCAACTATTATTAGAAAAGTCTAGGGGCCGGGGATTTAGCTCAGTGGTTTCGTCGCCTGCAGTGCAAGCGCAAGGACCCAAGTTCAATCCCTGGTACCAAAAAAAAAAATAGAAAGCAATAATTACCTGTTGTAAAGAAGGGTTGGCTGTTAAAATTGAAAGGATTTTTTAAAAGGTTACTATAGGGCCGGGGGTTTAGCTCAGTGGTTTTGCCGACTGCTGCTCAAGCGCAAGGACCCGAGTTCGATCCGCAGTACCAAAAAATAAAAAAAAGGTTACTGTAAAACAAGACATGGTGGTACATGCCTATAACCTCAGCACTCAGCAGGCTGAGGCAGGAGGATCCCCAGTCCAAGGCTAGTCTGAAGTACCTAAAAAGTTCAAGGTTACCCTGGACTACATAGCAAGACCCTGCCTGGGGAAAAAAAGGTTATTATAAAACTTTGTATTTTGAATTACTAAGTATAAGAATGGGGCTGGGTATGATGGCACATGCCTGTAATCCCAGCACTCAAGTGGCTATGGCAGGAGAATCACTGGGAATTTGAGGCCAGCCTGGGCAACACAGTGAGCTCAAGGCCAGTCTGAACTACATAGTGAGACCTTGTATCAAAAAAACAAAAAAGGGGCTGGGGATTTAGCTCAGTGGTTTCGCCACCTGCTGCACAACCACAAGGACCCGAGTTTGATCCCCGGTATCAAACAAACAAACAAACAAACAAAACAAAACAGAATGGGTAAGAATCAAAGGCTACAGAACTACTTTCCTGGAAAACTTTCACAAAGCACTATTTATATTAAAATATGTATTTCCTAATAGCTGAAACTTGGAAACAGCCTTATTGCCCATCAACTGGTGACTGGATAAAAAAGATGTGGGTTTTTTTTTTTAATGGAGTACTATTCAGCCATAAAGAATGAGAAACTAGGCCAGGGATTTAGCTCAGTGGTTCCACCACCTGCCTTGCAACCACAAGGACCTGAGTTCGATCCCTGGTACCAAAAGAATGAGAAACTAGGGCTAGGGATTTAGCTCAGTTGTTCCAGCACCTGCCTTGCAAGCACAAGGTCCCAAGTTCAATCCTCAGCACCAGAAAAAAAAGAATGAGAAACTAGAGACATTTATAGCTAAATGGATACACATTGAGGCCATACTCAAGTGAAATAAATAGGACACACATGTGTAAATACTGAATAGTTTCTCTGGTGTGAGAAACTGAAAGGGTAAATAAGGA